TAAATATTGTTTGTTTTGTTTATTTTCACATTTTATATATGATTTTTTTTTTATTGTAATTTTTTTCCCTTCTTTTGTTATCAATTTTCTATTAAAAGATAAGATAAAAGTTTCTTTTTTTTACTAAAACAAAAACGAAAAATTGAAATCAATGAGATAAATGAAAATTTCAATGATAATATTATAATAATTGTTGATAAAATTATTTTCATACTGTTTCTATTTTTGCTTTTTGTTTTCCTTTTTTTTTTTTCTATCTAATCCTCCTATTTTTTGTTGAAATTAAAATCAATTTGTGCTTACCATTGTTGAGGGTAGAAATAAAATTTTTCTCAAAAAAATAAAATGATTTTTAATCCTTTTATTGATTTCAATTTTATACGGAAAAAAAATTTTTTTTTTTTGTTTTTTCTTTTTAGTAATTCGATAATTTTCATTGTGTTTTTTATAAAACTGTACGAATTCAAATAATGTAATTTGTAAAATCGTAGTTGTTGACAATTTTAATTAATGAATGAAATTAGATAGTTCAATTAAATAATGCTTTTAAATAACTTATACACTAATTTGTAATTTTTGATAATTGTTTTTTTTTTTTTTCTAGCTTATAATAATAAATTATAAATTTGGAAAATTTATATTATCAAATGAAATAAAAAAAAAAAAAAAAAAAAAGAAGACAACTATAATTTGAAAAAAATGTAACTTTTAATTTTATAAATGATCATATTTCTTCGTGCCAGAATATATTTTCTCTTCATGTATTACAATTAATATTGTATTACATGTAATTATTGAAATTTTGAAATTATTTTTCAGCAATTTTTTTTTATACTGTATAAAATTTTCTTTCAAAAATTAATTATGCACAAGAAAAAGCTTAACCTATGTAAGATATTGTATTAATGAATTTATTTAAACATAATATTATTTACTTACTTAATAATTTTCAGAATCGATTATAATGAGAACAAAAATAAAAAAAAAAAAAAAAATCTTTTATTAATAATATTTGATATTCAGGTTTTTTTTTCTTTCCCATTAAAAACTTGTTTGTTTGCTTTTCTTTTTTTTTTTTTCAATTTGTTATTAATTTTTCTTTGATTTATTTTAATTGTCAAAATGAATTGTCGCTTATCAAATACTTCATTTTTATTGTTTATAATTTTTGAAGCAATCTTATAATGTTATTAGCTTCACACATATTTTTCAAAAATTTTTTAATTTTACTTTACACAAAATAAAATGAATAGTTATTTACTTATATTTATGAAAATTACTTCACTATATATTTAATTATATTTGAAAAAATTATTTAATTATATTTGTGAAAAAAAGAATGTCATGTAAGTAAGATATAGGTTTGTTTACTAGCATGAATAGCTGCTACTCTATTATTAGATATATTCATGGATTTTGTGCGGAAAAATTATATTGTGCATGTTTTTTGAGCAATAAAAATAATAATAATAATAATTAATAAACAAACAATAATAAGTAACAAATAATTAACAAGTAGTAAGTAATAAACAATGAATGATAATTAATAAATGATAAGTATATAGCATATAATAATAATAAAATAATAATAAATGATTAAAACAATAACAATAATAATAACAAAGAAGGATAAGTTTATGCTTTTGTTTTCGTATGATACCATAAACAATTGATTACGCAAGTTCATTGTTTATTTGAATATTATTAGATGAACAGAAACTAATAAATAAACAATAAATAACAAATAATAAACAGATGACAAATAATAAATAAATTCAAAAATAAATTTCGTCATGAATTTCATTTCTCATTTTCTTTTTTTGCTTTCATTATGATTCGTAATGTACGTACGTGATAAGTTTCACGGAAATTATTTCAAAATTATTTGGTAAGCGTGAATTAATCACAATGATTTTTGGTCTGAGAGTTTATTTCATTCATTTTTCTTTCTTGTTTTTCCAGTCAAATATGAATGATAACATTATTGCATGAAACTCTTTTTCAACATTTCCTTTTTTCTTCTTCTTCTCTCTCTCTCTCTCTCTTGTTGATAAATAATCTTTTTAAAAATATATTTTATGAAAGATCAAAATTAATAAATGTTAAGTGTAAAATAAATCATTTAAAAAAAAGTAAGCTTGACAATTGATAATGAATTAAATTTAAGCAATAAATTGAAATTATTGATGAAAGAAAAAAGAATTTATAATCGTTGAATTATATTCGATTTGATCAAAAACAAAAAAATTAATTTACTTTTTAAACATTTATTATTTTTGAATCATTCTGTTAAACGATAAAAGGAAGAAATGAAATTAATAATAGAAATATGGTAGAGATTTTATTATTGATTAAAATGCAAATTAAATGTAAGCATAACAAGAATATAAGTAAACAAAAAATTAAATAAAAGAAATTCATAAAAATTTGCTTATTCCTATATGTATCTTTGTGCATGTATGCTTGCATGCATGTGCAAGAATTGAGGTGCGTAGCTTTAAGGTGTATAAATGTTAAAGTGCATGCATGTTGTGCATGTTTGCGTACATTTCAGCGTATATGTGCACACTATGTATTAATTATACGTGTACGTGTTTATACGTGTATGTTTATACGTGCACATATATATGTGCGTATCTGTATATAAGTATAAAACTTAAACTATGTGGGCATTAAAACGCGTGGGTGTTAAGCTGCGTGGGTGTTAAACGGTGTATGTGTAAAATTACGTGGATGTTAAATTGCGTGGGTGTTGAAAATTTACTGTGTCATTTCGTAAACCATAGGTTAGTATGAGATGTGACCTTTAATGTGATATTTTAATTATTCGCTCTCAATAATAATAATAACAAATAATGTTTACTATTTATTGAACTTAATATGACCTTTTCAATTACATCTCAACATTTTCTTTCTAGTGCACAAATGTGCATAGATTGCGGTGATAACATTCAATTTTATCCTTCACTTTCAGCTAATAATATCTCATTTCAACTATGTTATCGCTTTACTACTACTTTTACTATGAATGTTTATTTATTTATTTATTAAAGAGAAAATAATATTTCTTTTTCCTGTAATTGATTCATTTTCTCTTCTTTCACTATTTCCTTTTTATTTTCTTTTCTTGAAATAACAGTGAAAAGAAAAGAAAATTTTGCAAAAAAGAAAACATGCACTTTTTCAATCAATGAATCTAAACTATAATAATAGAAGAAAAAAAAAAGTGTTATTCACCATTATTTCCAATTTTCCAAATTTCAACCTATTGTTATTTGAGATTTTTAAATGCATCAATATTATAATCAATTTTTTCGTCGTAATTTAGGGAAATTTCTCTTCTTTTTATACCAAAAAATTCTCAAAATTACGCATTGTTTATAAAAATGACAAAAATCGATATATGTAAACAGCGAAAATTAGCCCTTTTGATCTGGGTAATATTATCTTCACATTTTTACATGTGCTAATATTTATTTATTTTATTATCATTATTATTTATTATCATTAATTATTTTCAAATTTAATAATAACATACAATGTTTTAGCTCAAAAAAAAAAAAAGAAAAAACACACATATATAATACTTCACGGTAAATTTGCTTAATCGCTAAGCATTGAAAAATAACAATTTTTTAATAAAAAAAAAAAAAAAAAAAAAAAAAAGCTAAATGAGAAAATTTAATGCAGACGAACTCTGTTCTTTTTTGTTTTAAAAATCAAATATTACTTCATTTCTTTCATCTATTAGCATAATATCTTATATTATTGTATTTTAGTTTATTATTATATACCAAAAATGTGTAAAAGGTAAAAGGATTAGAAAAGAAAAAGAAAAAAAAACGAAATCCTTGTACTACTATTTTACATTATTCAATTAGTGATTTTTGTATCAAATTTTGTTGAAAAACAAAAAACATAAGTTTCTGGAAATGTTAAAAAATCAATGTTAAAAAAAATAAAAAATAAAAAGTGCCACCAAATGACGGAATAGTGACGAAGTATTCATTATGTATGTTGGCGTTTCGGTCAAATTTTAATTTTAGTGGAAGGAAGGGCAGGCAAAGTCGAATTTACAATTTCACATCAGCTTTTTCCTTTTTTTTTTTGTTAAACTGCTAAAAGATGAATGATAAATTTGGTAGATTTAGAAAAAAATTCGGTCTGCTTTTGTTTTTTTTTTTTTTTGTATTCTCTTTTTTTTGGAAAATATATGGAAATAAATAACATAGAAAATAGAAAGGAAAAGAGGAATTTATTTTCAATAGATTGAAATTTTTCTGCATTCATTTTATTTTCTTTTTTCTGTTTTTTTTTCTTTTTTTTTTTTTTTTTTTTTTTTGAGTAATTTTCTTCCAAGAATAAATATTTGGAGGTGGTGAATATGTTCCAGCAATTTCGTTAGCTGTTATTATGGGCGTTTTTTTTTTGAAAAGTTTTCAAAAGTTAGCTGCAATGTGTTTTTAGTGAAAAATTTGTATTAATGAAGAAAATAATTAATTCTTCGTTTACCAAATTTTTCATAGTAAATTAAAATGATATTAGTGTTAATAAGATATCGCACCAAATAATGTTGCAAAATTATTTTTTGCTCAGCTAACGCTGATAAAATAATATTTTAATTGGTAATTCGGTGAAAATAGTTGAAGAAATTTCTAGCAATGAATAGAAGTTTTTGTTTTGACAGTGTATGCATTTGAACAAAACGATTCATAACTGATAAAGAAGTTATTATTTCGGTTAATTAATTAATCAGTTAATGGCGTCTTTTAAAAAGAAAAAATTTTTCCTTTTTCATGCTTTCATATGATTTAATATTGTGCGATCGTTTTTCTTTTTTCGAACGTAACTTGTGCTAACAGCAATCTTATTTATTTATTTATTTATATAGATTTTTTTTTTATCGGCTACTGTAATTCAACACAAAAACGAATGTGGAAGTATTCATTTCTTTGCGCTGTTGAAGAGAATGAAGCATAAAATATTATGTAGATGCAAAAATGCCTGCGGCTGGACGCTTCGTTATCATTCTGTTAATATTTGGTGCAGCTGCGCATATTTTTCTTGGTGGTGGTTTATCATTTATCAGCGATTATCATATTTGGAGGCCAGTAGTTGAAAGCAGTAGGCAAGAAATTGTTCTGGTGCATAATATCGGCAATAGCAGTGATCAAAATGCGAAGAAAATTGTATCGAATGATCAAACAAAATTTCATTTAACTAGTGCTACTCCAGTTGATAACTTAGGCGCTATTCGTTCAAATTTTTATGAGCTTTTCATTAATGGTTTACGCTTTGGTAAACTAACTACTGTTTATCCAATAATTAATCAATCTATCATTAATGGTTCAACAACTGATAAGCCAACAGAAACATACGCAGAGAGTGTTTATCTGTTGAAAACTGATGGGAATATTCATAATAGTACTCTGTTAAATACTATTACAGGTTAGTTAATTTGTTTGGATCTAGATTGGATCTAGATTTTTTAGCATATATAATTTTTTTCTTTTGTTTTCTTTTTTTTGTTCAGGATAAATGATCAATGTTTTCAATTAATTCCTAAAGTGTATTTTAATTTAATAATTTTTGGAATTTCTGGAGAAAGAGAGAAAGTGAATCTTATGGTGAATGTTTAGCATCTTTATGCATCTATTCGAGTTATTAAACCATAAGTAGTGACTCTTGAATTATCAGCTTGAGTTTTTATTCAATTATACTATAACCTGTTATCATATAATTTTAAGAATTTTATAAAGTGCTGACTTTGTTCTAGTTTAATTCATACATCTGCCTAAGAATTATTTGGTGCACTTTTCTTAGGTGATGCAAATTGATTAGAGGACAACCAGCCACAATTATTGTAAAATTCATAGTTACAAATTCTGAATCATTTTAGAAATTATAAATGTGTGATTTGCAGTTGCCCAGTCTACTAAGCGATTATTTGGTAATGAAACATTATCAACGTGCAATGTTATTCCAACCTTTCAAATGGTGCATCAAAATCTTAGTTTGGTAAATTGTCCTGTAACACCACCTGGTTTGGTTGGTCCAATAAAAGTATGGTATGATGAGCCGACGTTTGAAGAAATTGAGCGATTAAATCCAAATTTGGAAGCTGGTGGCCACGGAAAACCTGAAAACTGCCTATCACGACACAGGGTTGCTATTATCGTTCCTTATAGGTTCGATTTTTATAATGTGATAATTTATTTTATCGAAGTTTTACCATTACATAATATTCTATTATGTAACTGCATCAAGAAAATGCAGTTTTGAACAGAAGTTAAATAAGACTTAATATTTGCATATTTGTTACGAAAAATCCTTCAATTTTGATATTCAAGTTATTTATTCGTTACGAAATAGGATTGAAAATTTTACTAATAGTTTATAACTCCATTGAATCATTGATATAACAATTCTTTTTAATTTCATGTAGCTTAACTTCTCATCGTGACGAATGCAGCAGTAAATGATTGAAAATTAGACATTTATTGAAAGATTTTTCGTGACAAATATGCAAATATCATTGATTTTGCGCATAATGCATCTATCAAAGAAAACTTGCGTTTATTTATGTTGCGTTTATTCCATATTTGAAACTTTATTTCTTCAATTTGTCTGATTAATTTTTCTATGTTTTAGATGATATGTTTTATTATGATCTTAACAATTTTTATTAAAAATTATAATATAATATTTTACAAAAATTTTAGAGATCGAGAAGCTCATTTGCGTATCTTATTGCACAATCTTCATTCATTGCTTACCAAACAACAACTTGATTATGCCATTTTTGTCATCGAACAACATGAAAATGAAACATTCAATCGTGCTAAATTAATGAATGTGGGATATGTGGAGGCAATGAAACTTTATGATTGGCAATGTTTTGTATTTCATGATGTTGATTTATTGGCAGAGGATGATCGTAACATTTATTCTTGTCCTGATCAACCAAGGCATATGAGTGTTGCAGTTAATAAATTTAAATACAAGTTTGTTTTTCCAATTATTTTTGTTAAAATTAGAAAAGTGGGTAAGTTAAGCAGAAATTTTTTAACTGTTACTAATTCGCTGTTTAATGTGTTTCTTATATTTATAGCTACAAGCAACCAAAAGATAACTGAATAATCTTAGTGATGTGATTTTACCAGGAATTATTAACTGGAATACTTGATTTAAAATAAATTAGCAAATTGTAATATTTACTTGCTTATTTGATTGATTTATTTCCAAATCTTTAAAAAGTTATCTTTCAATAGCAAATTTACTGCTTGTAGATTACCATATGGATCAATATTCGGAGGTGTAAGTGCTATTAGAACGGAGCAGTTTGCAACATTGAATGGCTTTTCGAACAGTTATTGGGGTTGGGGTGGTGAAGATGATGATCTCTCAATGCGGTAAAAAAGAAATTTTTAATTTATTAATAAAAAAAAGAAAAAAAGGAAAACAAAACAAAAAACAAAAGATTTTGGTCTACATTAGATGAGACTAAAATGACATCGCAAGAATTTGACATTCGGACGTTAAAACACATGAAGGAAAATGATTTGGAATTTTACAAATCAAATTAAATTTTTTTAAAATTAATTTATGAATTGTTTTTTAATAAATGTTTACTCCTTAGAGTAACTTCTGCTGGTTACAAAATTATGCGATATCCATCGGAAATTGCACGCTATCAAATGGTTCAGCATAAATCAGAGATGAAAAATCCCATTAATAGGTTATCTTTTTTGTTCTTTATGCAAATTTTTGTTGTTAAAGAAAAATTATAGATTTTATTTATTGTTAATAATATAATAGGATATTGTGATAAGTAATGTTTTAGGGTAATAGCATGTTATATATGATAAATTTGGAAAATTTTATTTGGAAAAAATAAATATTTGATTTATATTAGAAATTTTTCTATTATAATTATTCCAAGAGGGAAATTAATTTCAGATGTCGATATGATTTATTAGCCAAAACAAAAGTACGTCAGCAAACGGATGGTATTTCATCATTAAAATATGAATGTTACGATTTGCAATTTTTTACGCTGTTTACACATATCAAAGTGAAATTATTCGAGCAGGAATCAAAAGCACAGTTACGTGAAGAAGGTTTCAAGAGATGTTGAACAATAAATAAATGATGTGCAACTGTTTCTGCGGTAATTCAGGGAGGTATGCCAAAGTTGGCTTTAAATTTCTGAAATTTGAACATTTCATTTTCTACCTGTTATTCTCATTTGCTATGATCGAGGAGCAAGTTCTGTTTTCTTTTTTCTTTCCTTTTCTTTTTTTTTTTTTTTTTGTTTGTTTGTTTGTTTGTCTTTTCCTTTCAATCTAGGACAAGAAAGAAAAAAAATAAGTGTGGTTAGCATTTCTTGGAAATGTTTTGTAAATATATATGTATATCTTTTACATTGTAAAAATTTGATATTCCAAGTAAATCTAAAATTTGATTTCCTTTTAAATCTTCTGAAATTTAGTAGTATTCTTCATTATGTTTATTTTTGTAGAAACAGTTTTTGTTTTTGAAATTTTGTTAGAATATACTACTATCAACAAATAATAATTTTAATTTGATAACCCTTTTAGTTTTCAGTTTCTTTTCATCGGGATGGTATTATTGATTTGGTCATATTTATCACTTTCCTCTTTGCTCATTCGTTTTTTTTTTTTTTTTGTTCTGTATTGTAGAATAAGCTATATTTAAAATTTTTTAAACTTATATTCTTTCTCTTCCATTCTTACGATATTACTTCATATTTGAATTTTAAAACATCTATGAAAATGAATCAATATGAAGATGAATCGACTCGAATAGAGAAATGCATTATATGCATTGTTTTAGAAGAATAGCATTACATATGAATTAAAGTAATGTTGTAACAATTAAAGTAATTATTACTGTCCATTAATTGGCAGAATGGATGACATATAATAATATTAACTTTTGTATATTAAGTAAAGGAGAGTATCTCTTGAAAGTAGTAAAAACTACATATTACACATAGTCTTATGTGAACTTTTTCAAGAAGAGCTCAGAATAACAACAGTGAAATCACTTTGTTTAGTTTATTTATTAGTAAAAACCGTTTGTAGTAATAATAATGTTTGTTTAGCAGAGGAAGGAGAGATAATTTATTTATTAGTATTAAAAATTTATCTTGATTAAATACTTAAATAGAAATTAAGAGTTGAATTAAACAGATAATATTAATATCTTCTTTCAATTTTTCACTTATTTTCTACTTATTTAATGCACTATATTAATTTTTAAATTCCAATAATTGTTCCGATTTGTTCATTTCATTAATATAGTTAAAAATTTCATCCATAAAATATTACTTACCTGAATTCCTCTTTTGTCTTCCTCTTTCCGTCTGTAAACAGGTTACAATAATTGATGCTTCTTGCTCATCGATTTATGCCTTTCATTGTCAATCACCATAATAAATTTATCCTGAATTGTTGCAAATTGAAATAGGTAAATGAATAGGTTAAATTTACTAATTAAATAATTTCCGAGTAAACACTTTTTAACAGATATGAATTTGTTAAAGCAATGAATTACTCCACTGCTTTTATTATAATTTCCCTTTTTTTTCCCTTTTTTTTGCACATAAATTTAGCAATAATTAACATTTTAAATAAAAGTAGGATAATTTTAAAAAATGGTTTTAGGCATTGATTGCATTGGATTATATATTTCATATTAATGATACATTTTTAAAATGATTATTATATGAATTCTATCATTTCATATATATTAGCCGAGAAATTCAGATTTTGCATCAGACCCAGAATGATCAATATGACATTTAAGAACTAATGTAGCAGGTCAAGATCGAGATTGAGCTTATATGAAAAGCATAATAATTTTAGGAAATCTAAATCTTTCTCTTATTTTCTTGAAGCTTTATGTTGTTATAATGTAACTAAGATTAAATGAAGAGTTGAAAATGCTAAAATAGCACATATTTGCATTAGAAGTTAAAATGAAGACTAAATAGATAGTTAATAGAAATTGAAGACTGAGAGAGTAAATTTGTTTGTGTTCAGATCATTAGTGATGAAAGGATTAGATATTATATATAGGTTTTACTTCATTTCTATTTTGTCTTTTATAGTTAATATTATTATTGGATAATTCATAAAATTTAAAAGTTCTTTTATGCCTAAATTACTTTATGTGTCATTTTCTTGCTCCATGTATCTTTGTCTTTTTAATTTAAAAAAAAAAAAAAAAAAAAAATGAAAAAAAAAATAATTTATTAATGTCTAGTCAAAATTCATTGTAATTTGAAGATGTAAAAAGGAATGAAATCGACTATATATATATCATATTTTCATAAATAATGATTTTTACTTGTTTATTCGATCAGTAATGATTTATTTGTTTGTTCATTTTCTTAATGATATTGCTAAATGACATTAACTCCTTTAATTCACTTGCTAAGTAATAAAATTAAAAAAAAAGAAATGAAGTGATGAAGTAATGAAGTAATGTAAATAATTAATTCAAATATCTTGCAATTTTTTTTTTTTTTTTTTGTAAAAATATTTTATAAAAAGCTAAATATTTTGTTTCATTCCTTTCATTGCACTTATAAACAAACGATGTTAATTTTTTCCAGAAAAGAAAGTTTGTTCTGATTACAAATAAAATTATTTTCTTTCAAGTTTTTATTGTCCAAAAATTTTATCCTGATTGGTTTGTTTTCTTACATGTGAAATTGTATTCAGTAAATTTATATGTGATATTAAAATATTGGAGAAAAATTACACTTTCTCAGATAATTGGATGTGTCATAGTTGCTAGTGTGAAAATTGATTCTAATTGTAAAAAATTAAATTATTGATTATTGCGTTTGAAGAGAAAGTGATGAGATGAAATGATTTCAAAATTTATATAATTTCCTTAATTAATAATGCTTGACACTTATGCAATATTACTATTACACAAATAAACTTGAAAATGAATGAATTATGCTTTCTGCATGCATCAAAAAAAAAGTAACTGTACCTTATTTCCAGATAACAATCCTCAAGTGATATTATTCTTATCAAATTAATCAATCACATTTCATCGATCAGCAAATAAGCTGTAAGACTCATTTAAAAGGATTTTGATGCGAATTTATGCTAATTAACTGAATAATTAATAATTGGTATATCATCATTAAATAGGCAAAAATCATTACTGCGATAAGCATCCATTATCGCAAATTATAAACTCCTTTAACAATTGTTCCAATTATAAATTTAATAATTTTTCTTTCTTCAAGATTGCAACCCCGCCCACTACTATCAGTTATTTTTGTACGTCTTAGTTATTGCAAACAAAGGGCACTTACTTGACAAAAGTATCGTCTTAATTCATTTTATTTGAAATATAATATGCTGTTAGCTAAAACAAGTGCCATAATGCCTTAATTTGTTGGTAACTAAGTCAACTTTGCACTATATTTTATTTGATCATTCAGATGTTGGAATTTTTTCATATTTAAAGTAGTAATAATAACTGAAGAATTGACGGAATGTCTCGACAAAATAGATTTTAAACAATATTAGCAAAGAAACATTATCATTACTAATCAATTAATAGCACATCAATTGTAGTAGTTGTATTTCCCGAGAAACACGGGCAACAGAAAGCTTATAAAAAATGTACTTACAAATATTTCATAATTGAATACAATTTTAAAATGCCTTGTGAAAAAGCTAATTATTTATTATTTTAATTATTGCATGTTACGTTGTGATATGATCTTAAAAAATATATTTATTGGTGAGAAAACAAAACCATGGAACAAAATAAGTGCAGTTGAATGAATACAATGGATTAAAAATGCAATGAATTGAAAATAACTCATATGGCTGAAGGATACATATGCAAACATATTTACAGGAGCACGAAAAGGTATTGAAATAGCACAGCTTCATATAACATGAAAGTATGACAGGTTTAGAAAGGTTATAACTCGTAAAAACAACAAATTGGAATGATCAAAAGTCAGAACAACAAAAATAATAAACTTTGATTGATTGAACAAAAGAAAAAAAAAGAATAACAAAAGACCTTCGGAGATTTAATGAGTCAAAAAGAAGAAGACTTAACAAGTTCTAAATAAATTTAGCAAGAGTTCTGTATGATAATATTGGATGATAAAGCTCTCTCTCTCTCAAAAAAAAAAAAAAGTCATATATACAGGAAATGCAATAGTTAAAATGTGATATAAATCATGCATTAAATCGTACTACTTCCAATGGTTTATTAATATAGCTTAGTTGTTTGTTTAACTCGACTGCATCCTTCTCATTATTTTTACCATTATCAGAACTTTCCGATCCATCCCCGCTAAAAAATATTCAAAATCACTTTTAGAAAAATAAAAAAAAATTCAATATAAATAATATGAAGTAAAAAAAAAACTTTTTTTCATGAAAATTCCAATACAAAAATAATTTGAAATAAAGAAAAAAAAAAGCATTTATTCATTTTTTACAATTTTAATACATTAAATAATTATATGAGATAAGAACTTACAACATAGCCACATAATTACAGCGACCACGTTTTGCCATACGTGAAGCTATCATTACTGGAGATGGAAGTGATACTGCCATATTAACAATTTGAAAATTATATGCAAGTGCATGCACAATACCTTGCATTTCATCGGCTTCCATTTTCGAAGTATCAAATAACAACGTATATCGTGGCGTCTTTGCAGTACCCTAAAATTTTTGCTAAAAATTTAATCAATTAGTGAAAAATTTTTTCCCATCACTTCATCATTTTCAGTGTAACATTATTATTTATTTCCTTATCATCTAGAAATTCGACTGAAATGAAATGAAGAATTAAGGCACCTTATTTAGCATTTCATTAATACCATAATTTTACCATCAAAACTTTTTAAAAAAAAAAAGTGTAACAAACCTGAAATGTAGAATGCGAATTCAAATAAAATTCACTTAAGACAGGATTTACCACATGCTTATCAATAACTGTACCCGGCTTAATATTCTGTTGTGCTGCTCGTTCTTGCTTATGAATATTCTACAATATACTTAGAAATGAAGAGAATTAGTAAAATAAAATAAAATGATATAGCAACAAAAATTGATAACATTATATTTCATTACTGTGAATTAAACTTTTTGGAAATTGAACATCACAAATATTACAAACATTTTCTATATGTAATAATTTAATCTCTTGAAGAAATTTTCAAATAAGTCTTTTAGTTTTAATGAAAAATTTCATTAACCTTTTTATAAATGCGCAAATTATGCATCTTTGTAAGTACAATGAATGTGATATGTGGACGATAGTTTTGACCACCAACTAACTGGCATGCATGTTTGATCTGTTCTACTTCGGTGTTCATAACCTGAAAAAAGAATTAAAAAAGAAACGCAATTCTTTTATTTTCTAAATGGTCAAAGTAATATCACCATTATCATCATCAAATTGTTACATTTTCAAAATTTGCTTGAAATATGCAAAAATAAAGCAGAAAAATAATAAAGAGAGAAAATTTACATATTTATATTGCCCAACAGATATGCCATCTCGAATAACGAATAAGTGGGTGGGCGGCGTCCCACGATTTGCATTAAAATAACGCAATAAATCTGAGAATATTTGTTGTATCGCATCATCCATTAGCTATAAAATTGTAGCGCATAAAAGATATCATTAATAAAGGCACAATTAAAATATGTCATAATAAGTACCAAAATTTATTTGTTATAAAGAATAAACAGTTTCAAATGTTTGCTCGTTTCACTGATAGAATTAAACACTTATTGTATATATGAGGTTAAAATAATATCAAATATGAATAAATAATAATAAAAAAAAAAAAAAAAAAACAGACATACCTCTTCCATCTGAGCTTTAGCAAAGCGATATCCACCAATGAAATCTAACGGATGTTTTTTTATGTTTGCCGAATACTAAAACTTTTTAAATATAATATTATGAAAATTAAAAGTGAAATGAATTATAATAATAACTGTTGGACTTGAACAAGAAAAAAAAATACAAATTTTATCTAAAAACATCTAAAATGATTGCTACTTACACCAACAACTGATAGCACAGTATTTCGATCTTTATTAGGTACCCTAGAATAAGAAGGATGCGCAATATCCAAACCCACAATAAGAAATCCCGGCCTTCCTAGCCATCTGTCACAGCTGAAATGTCGTATATTAGCTTTAAAAACAGAAAAAAAAAAAAAAAAAACTATTTCAAGTTTCAAAAATTATTTAGCAGAAAACAGAAAAATTGAAACAGAAATAACTACTTTTCTTCAAGATGAACCGAATAATTTAATCCACCCATTTTTATGTTTGTTTTATTAACGATATTGTCAAGTGTTTGATATTGCCGTTTCATGACTATTCCTAATGCAGTTGACGCTTTTAAATCTTGTGTAAGAATTTGTTCCTGTGATTCGATGTATTTCATACGTGCTGAAAAAAATTTCACCACTATAAAAACATTACTCAAAACTCTAAATATAAAACATATCTAGAGATAAAAAAAAATGTAAAAGAAATCTAAAAATACTTATATTAAAGCGCATGCGCATGAAAAGTATATTAATGAAAGAGTAGAAAAGAGACTTAAGAATTTGTTCTTGTGATATGATGATTGCTAATTTAAGATATTTGATAAGGGAGACCAAAATCACTGCATATGGAAAACGATTAAAATATTTATGTTTACCAAAAAAATGCTTAAAGTTAAATCATATTGTAATCTTATGAAGCAATTAAATCAACCTATTTAGGAAACTATTCAAAGCAAAAAAATCCCATGTAATTCAAAACAAAAAATGATATTTTAAATAAAGCATGTACAAAAAATCAAAGATTTATGTTCTTTTCTTGAACTGATGAAATAAATTTTTTGAAAAAAAAAAAGTTTTATGAAACAAAAGATTTCAAAAAAAAAAAAAAAATTACCATGATAATTCAATTCATCAGCAGTCACAAAATGAATGAATGTTGCACCCGATTTTTTGGCTTTTATTATTAACGATTCAATATCTTGCTCTTTTGAACGACGAATATACTCATAACCAATTGGATCTCTTATTTGCATGCCATGTTTACGACAACGTTCCAAAAACATTTTTATATAAGTGCTGCAAATATTTCATTAAATCAATAAAATACTTTAATGAGAATGAATACATATATATATTAAACATATGACAAAGAAATTTTTTAAAATGAATCATATCTTCGACATAATATTTTACAAAAATCATACCAGAATTGATTTTCATGAAATCTTTCTTCTCGTGGACCCATTAATGCCACCGCATACCACTTTTCGCAAACAGCCGGAATTAGGTAATATTTTTTTCCATCCATCCATACAGTCTTAATATTGCACATATAATAACTCTTGCAAAAATCCAATGCAAAAAGCTCACTGATATTAGAGTTCAAAGTTATTTGAGAAAACGATAACCATAAAATCATCAAAAACATTAAAAAAAAATTTTTTTTGCTTACCTTTTCATTTGGGTTTATCCATCCATTAGTGTGATATTCGATAACTGGCTGAGGAAGCACTCTTGCTGGAAACTACAAAAAAAAAAGAGAAAGAAAAAAAGCATAAATCAATTTCAACGTAGCTGAAATATATTTCAGAGATATAAAAGGCAGCAAGCATATAGTAATTCAATAAAGTTACGAAATTTTTACATTTTCATCCTTAAAAAAAAAAAAAAAAAAAATTACTCAAATTCCGCATAATTTTCGATTAGAAATCTCACTTGTATTCTTGAAAATATGAATTACTATAAAAAATAAAAAGAAAATACCATGAAATTATCTGTAATGGTCATATTACATTTCCCTATCCATTTATGCTGATTAGAATTGTCAAGCTTCATTGCTTGACTCAATCTATTCGTCTGCATTAATCGAACAGATGGTTCTGTAGCACATGCCTAAAAAAAAACAGTCGTCAATGTCTGACAATACAAAAAATTTGAAAGTGATTTATTATCGGATTGCTTAGATGAGATTACAACAGGAAAAAAAATAAAAACATTTACGTTATAATCTGGTAAAACATTAACAAGCAAACAACAGATTTCAGCATCAAACTTAAAATCATAGTATGAAAACTTCAAAAAAAAAAAAAAGAAAAAGAAACAGATTATTAAAGAAATTCTGAGTAGAAAAAGTTAGTTGAATTTTAAAGATCAAATTATTCAGACAGAATTACCAAACTCAGAAAATAACATTGAGAAAGAGAGTAAGCACAGAAACATTTTACACTTACTCGAATCATTGTTTGTACTTGAGATGATGTCTGTTGTCCTTTGGATACCCGTTGATTTTCACATACAACTAGTACTTCTATCGGATAAAGGTTATTTTTTGGTTGACATCGCTCCATAATCAATGGCAATTTTGGATATTTTAGTTTAATCGAATATTTCGTCATGAAATACTTCTCAACCGACATTTCACCCGTTTTAAGCGCCAATCTTTAAAATTAAAAAAAGAGAGTAATTTGGTAATAAAACAGTAGTATAATGAAAAATGATTAAAAAACCATACTTTGATGTATGCGCATTTTCTTTCGAAATGCCTGCAATAGCGAACTCACGGTTTTTACCATAAGAACAACGAACGTACAAACCTACAATCAAACATTTTTCAATGTTTGATTTATACAATGAAAAAATCAACAACTAGAAGGATATGAAAATTCAATCTGAAATCAAAGTACTTAAATACAGTATTAACAGATTAACAGCATATGATATTTGCGCTAATGATAATATACCTTTGAGAGCTTTACTTAAAATAAGTATTGATTGTTGATCAATACCATGGCCAATTTCAGCTCTAGTCCTTCGAAATATGGATTCTACTTTTTCAAGCAAATGCTGATTATCGATATGAAATGCTGCTTTTTTTGCTACAATTAACAAAAATAAAGAAAAAAGAATCACATAGAAAAAAGAAAAAAAATTACATAAAAAATCATGCATAAAATTTCTATCGAAAATCACCGAATCGATGTAAGATTACACATTAAATTATAATTTTAAGAGAACCAAATTTTCTACTAACCGTCGAGCACTAGTCCTGCATTGATGCCTCTTTTAAAATTACCCAGTCCTTCAATAATTCGTACACCTTTTGCGGCACCAATAGCAACATATTTTCCTTCCTGAAGTTCAGGCATATCTCTATCGCCAAAACCAAACTGACTCGGATCCATAAGATAACATTCTCCTGTTCCGTAACTAACAAAGCGGCCCCTAAAAACAAGTATAAAATCTTTAAAAGTAAAAAAAAAAAAAACCAAAGCAATCAAAACTTTCCGAACCATAAATTTATGATTATATGCTAACAATGTTAAACTCAAATCTATGAATGGATAGTGGTTTTAGACAAACACACCAGTGAACAACTATCCATCAGATTTATGCCGTATATTTCAAATCTTTTTCAATTGATTTTCAAATATTACCGATCATTACAAACAGTAAGTACATTTGGGATAAATTTGATATGAAAAAGCTTTCATTATAATAAGTAGTATTTAACTTACTGCATAAAAAATACTTCTTGCATAGCCAAAATTTCTAAAAACTGCTGCAAACTGCTGTTGATTTCATCTGGATTATTACTGACACAATTCTTCAGATCATGCATTGCTAATTGAAAATCCTCTTTACAAGGTTTGATCTAAAAAAAAAAACAGAAAAAACTGAGAAATATTCCTGATCGTTACAATAACAAAAAAAAAAAAAAAAAAAAGAAAATCATCAAACGAATTAGCACAAACTCATTTGATGATTTCCTGTTGATAAATAAAATACATTAATTCCATGCTACACCAATTAATAATCCTCATCAAAAGAAAAAAAGTCTACTGAATTTAATCTGAATTACTTGGTGCCACAATCTGATATTAAATCTGGAGAATGCATCGGTTTTTCTGCCACACTCTCAAAGTTAAAATATTTAAGTACAATAAAGATAAATGAAAACTGAGATGAACTTACATTTACATGGACTTTAACACAATCATCGCTAACTATATTCGCTGGAAGCTCATTTTTATTCAGAAAAAATGTTTTTCGTACCTAAAAATTTATTCCATTAACAGAAAAAAAAAATTAAAAATTTATGCAGAACAATTTCTAGTGTTTTCAGATTTCATATCTGCCAAATTCCGCAGATCAAGTTTCAACGAACAGTTTCTTTTAACCAAATTAAACTTCGCACCTTTTACTACTTTATGAATCAAAAAGCAAATTATAAACTGGCTTCTTGGAGATTACAATAGCAATAATAAGCACAAAATTATAATTAATTTTACAACATTACTGTGAAACACTGAAAATATTATAATGAAGTAAGATAAAATCGCTGTTAAGTGTAAACAGCGAAATAACATAATAAAGCAAATGTTTACTTAATTTATGCTATATTTCGAATTACTATTTTAACTGCTCATTCTAATTGATTGGTTTCATTTACAAAATTTTTTATTTTTCATCTAATTATTTAAAGATCATGCAATCAATTGACACAACAAAATGAAAAAGCAAAAAGAGCTTAACCTCGTCGCCACTAGCTCTTGGAAAAGATAACTTTCGCAATGAATATAAAATGGAAGCACGATCATAAATGAGTGTATCTGCGGCACCGAAAAACTGCTTCTCACGTCTTAATAAAGCTTGATAAACCGCAAAACATTTTGCTCTTCGATCCACAGCAACATAACTTAAACATAAATTTTTATTTTCTTGTAAATTAAACAAAACTTTACATGCTGAACTGCAGATAAAAAGAAATATCATAATAACATCATTTTTCTTTTATTTCTCTTTTCTTCGCAAAATCTTCATAATCATTCATCTCATTTTATTCTTTTTATTAAATTCATTACAAATGAATAGCACTTAAAACAATTTTAAGACATTTATAAATTTTGTTCTTTTTTTAACATCGCAGTAGCATTTTTTTTTTTTTTTTTTTCGGATATTTCATATATGCAACAATTAACGTGAAACAATTAACAGTTAATTGTATAAAAAGATTTCTTCTAATAAAAACTAAGAATTAATAGTTAGAGAGGGAGAGAGAAAAAGAATTACTTACTCATTTCGCACTTGTTTCGTCACTTCTTTAAATGAAGGTTCTTTGCTATCTTTTTTAGGCGGATATTCTTCCAAAACACGGAAATCATAACGATAAATTGGTATATTTTCATGTGAAATTAATCCCCAAACATTTGTTACTACATCCAATAATTCTGACTTACGAATTCCTGGAGCTATTTTATCTGCCAAACGAACAGGCAATCTACTAACCTGAAATATTTATAACTGACAATTTCAAAATACGTATATAATTTCTTCGAAAACTTTTGAAATCCAAATAAATTAAAAATATTCATCATAATTAAGATAATTATCATAGATAGCATGAAAATCCACACTACTTTTTCATCTTGTAATATTATAATATACTGGTCAAAACTTACGCTTGCCTGTTCCATCTGCATCCTCACTTTTTCGACTGCACTACTACCTGCTGATAAATGAAAAAATTATTTCAATATCAATTTATAAACATTCTTATCCTTCAAAAATAAAACAAACTTCAATACTTCCATATCCACTCCTCATCAGTTTTGTGAAAACCTCAAATTTATACTTCAACATACCAATACAATTAAAAAACAAAATTCTCAATCTGGCAATGTTAATTATCTAAATTCGATAATTACCCCCCTCCACCAAAAAAAAAAAAGAAAAAAAATCTCAAAATAACATAATACTACTACATTAGGAAATATGGAATAAAAAGTTTCAGCTCCTATAACTACCAAATTATTTTAGCCTTTTGAACTACAAAACCAATGTAAATGAAATAATCCTTCATTTGAATACGAAAACGCTTAAACTTAATCTGACATAATAATAATAGCAGTAATTATGATAGTGATAATGATAATCAATAACAATAGTGACAATGACAACAATAAATTGGCAATTAATTAATAACAATAACCAATTTATAACAAATAATACATAATAGTAAGTAATAACTAAATCAATAAAATAAAAAAATTGTCAGTAATTAATTAATTAATAATAATTGTTAACTAGTAACTAATGACTAATAACTAACTGTAGTAATACTAATAAATAATAGAAAAAAAAAACGATCACCTGCCATAATGCAGTTACTTTCTATATGAACCAACGCCTTTTAGTAGGTTACAAAATCAGCTGAAAAAAAAAAAAGGAAAACAAATGAAAAATCATATTTAAACATTAGCAATTCTTACATCCAATATTTCATTAATCGGTTCCTACTACCATCCAATGTATCAAACATTTATTATTTAATCACAAATTTTTATCCACACAACTGATAAGACTATCATCAATGAAAATTCGTTCCTTTCTTTTTTCTTTTTTTGGTAAATCAAATGATTAAACAATTTTTTTGCTATGTCACAACAGTATGTTTTAGTGTTGCACATTAATTAAATGAAATATCATATAATATATAAAAATTTTTAATCTTCTAAATTTAAAATTTAGATTCGTATATCTTTCTTCTAATCTTCTATAAATTCATACAAACTTCTTTATTTTTCATTTCACAAAACACACAAATATTTCAATTTATATTTATAAAATTATTGAAAAAAAAAAAATATATATATATATCTACTGGCAACAACAATCCTAAATTATGGATTAATTGACAAGTAATATACGTAATTTCTCTAGAAAAAAAAAATGTTTCTCATAAATTTTTCAAAATAATGATAAATGAAAAAAAAAAAAAAAAAAAAAAACGAAATTAATCAAAAGAACAATGACATATTATTTACTTATTACATTTAAATATTGTTTCTTCATGTAAAATGATTGAATTTTTTTTTCTTACAATACTAACTGTCAAAGAATAATTAATCGATAAAAGCCTTTTACTATTCTTTTTTTTTTATTTATATTTTATTACTAAACTTAATCTGACTCTTCTCGAGAATAAAGTAATCATTCTACTACAACAATAACAACAACAATAACAAGAACGACAACAATAACAAGAACGACAACAATAACAAGAACGACAACAACAGCAATAATAACAATAACGATAACAAGAAAGTAGCAGCAGTTAGTCTTACGTACAATAATCTGAAAATGATAACTATACGTGCGCAGTGCGCAACTGTCATCAATAGCACGTGCACTTCTACCCCTATTCATTACGGTATCATTTTAGTAATACTCACGTACCTAAGTCTCTTCGCCTTCTTTTTTTTCTTTTTCATCTTATTACCATTCCCATTTCCTTCGCTTTTTACAAACTTATTTCAAACACACACACACACACACACACAGACACACACACACACACATACACACACACACACATACGCACAAACATACACACACACACATATATCTATACATACTCATACAAATGCATTCGTGCACATACCACATGCAAACATACAGCGTGCACACGCACACACACATCCATACAGGTGCACGCATGTACACACCCACTCACAAATACATGTGTGTACATGCATACACATACGCACACATACACAGCGCGTAAGCAGCAGATGCGCTGAGCCCACCTCACAATAAGCGCACATTTTAGAGAGGGGCGCATGTATTATCGAATGTAAACGATGTATAATATTGGCATATTATCTTATCTTATCTTATCAGCACTGATAAGCCAAACATTTCTAATTACATTTTCTAGCAGTAATTCATATTGAAGAAATTTAAAATGAATGGAAATTCTAAACAAATAAATTTCTTTATCAACTTAAATAAAAAAAAAAATTATACTAAAAGAAAAAGTTTTTATCAGTTTTATTTTATGAAAATTATCAGAATTATATAGAAAGAAAGTTATTATTAGTATGAAATAATTAACTAATAAATTATTTGCTTTAAAACTTTCTAAAACACAAAAAAAAAAAAAGAAAAAATTTACGAATCATTTCTTCATCAACAAAAAAAATGTTCAAATGAGTGAAAAGCATTGAAATTTGAATGAGTGAAAATTAATTAATTACAATTACAATCTTTTTTCTCTATTAATGACACAAAAAGTGATCAGTATATCAAATATGTATTCATTTCCAAAATATTTCAATAATTTGTAAAATTATTAATTGAATTTGAAATTAGACCCTTGATTTAAAGTACAATTTTTTAATTTAAGATTTTTACTGCTTATTTTTATATTTTCTTTAAATTCATCTTTAAAAAAAGTATAATTTCGTTAGTAAATGTAATAGTAGTATTTAATGATTTATTCATATTAATTAAGCCAAGAGAGGGAGATAAATTCATCTATTTGTTTTGTAAATGTTTTTTGCTTTTAGTTTTTTTTTTTTTTTTTTTTTTTTAAATTTAATAATTTATAAAAAAAAAAAAAAAAAAAAAAAAAAAAAGAAATCCACAATGTAATATAATGTAACATTAAATACCGCAAAGAAACGATAAAAATGCATGGAAAATATCAGCACTTTAAAATAATGACAAGAAGAAATAAAAAGTAAAAAGGATAAAAGTATGCATTAAATCAAACAAAAAAAAAAAAACAAAAAGAAAAACAAAAAGGAAAGGAAAAGAAAAAAGATCACAATCTGTTGCTATTTAAAATAATTCCCTATGTGAAATATTCATAAAATATATATATGTGACAATAATTCTACAGAAATAATTCATCGTTTCCTCATTCATTTCTTTTTAAATGAAAAAAATTCAAATTTTTGAAAAATTTGAAAGCGAAAAAAAAAAAAAAAAAAAAACAAGAAGAAACACGAATAATTAAAATTTGTTATGATTGACATTATTGATTAGTAAAAAATTATATGCTCATGTTTACTACTTATATTTGAATAATTTTATATGAATTATATGTAATTTTAACAGAAATTAATCAACGCTTTCAATTAAGATATCTTAGAGAAAAGTCACTGAAAGCAATAATTTTTGATCAAAGTTAAAATAAAATATGAATTTATCATGAAACAACTTGAAAATTCAATTATTTTATAAACAAAAATTCTTATCCTTTTTTCTTCCTTTTCCATATATTTAACACTTCAGTTGATCAAATTTTCATTTCTAAAATTTGCAATTATTATAAAAACAAATTACTTGTAAAAATAAAATATCAAAAAAAAAAAACATTTTCCAGTTCTAAAATTCCAGATGCAAAAAAAAAAGGAAAAAAAATTTAGAAAATAAACAAATTATAGGGACAAAAAGCACATAATAAATGTCACAGTTTTTAAAGTGATACGATGTAACAATTAAAAGAAATCACAGAAACGAACACATTTTCTTTCAAAAGTGAATTCAAAATCAATAAATTTAAACTCTCTAATAATTGAAAAAATTTTCAGAAAAATGAAAAATTTTTCGAGAAATGAAAAGAAAATTTTCAAATTCTGTTCCAGAATAATTAATCAAGAAAAAAAGAGAAAATCTCGAGCGATATGTATGATAGATTAAACTAATATAAAGAAAAATAAAATGTACAAAAAGAGAAAAAAAGTTGAGTGATTAAATCTCCTTATCACAAAAAAAATTGAATAATAAAAACTGCTTATCACAAAAAAAGCCGATTGAATCTGATCACAGAGAAGCTGAATCATTAAATCTGCTCATCAGTTACTTTAATTTCTTAATTCTATTTAAACTAATAAATAACATTTCACCACTTAATTATTATTGCTCACTTTTTTTTTCCTTCTTTTTCATTTATCCAAATAAGAAGTTTCATATAACTCACATACCTGTTTAAAAAAAAATAAAAAATAAAATAAATATTCTCAATGGATAAATGAAAGAAAAAGAAAATGAATGAGTAACGACTGTTTTTTTTTTTGCTCATATCAACAAATAAAGTAAACTTTTCTTCAAATAATAAAAACACAAAAGCTTTTAGATAAGAATAATTAAAAAGAAGACACTAATGAGGAAACGAAAAAAAAAAAAAAAATGCATAGTTTTTGCATTTTTCATAGCGATGATATACATACAGATAGTGGATTTTTTTAAAAAAAAAAAAAAAAAAAAGAATTTTAAGGAAATAAAATCCTTTCCTTTTTTTTTTTCCTCGCACAAAAAAAGAAAGAAAAATCAATCAATTAATAATTGAACAAATAAATAAATATTGATTTCCAAATGAAACAATCGGATCAGTGTAATTTTTTAAAAACTAAATCATTTATATAAATGTTGTAAGGTAGTAAAATTTTTACATGTTTTTTTAGCTCATATCAACTTACATTAACAATTAGTTGAAGGGGTAAAAAATGGATAACAAATGAAAATAGAGCTAATAGAAACGCTTAGAGGAAAGACAAATTAAAAGAAAGTAAAAATAATTGATATAATAAATACCAGGAAATGAATGAAATATGAAAGAAAAGGAAAAATAAAAATTTAGTGCAAACAAAATTTGTGATAATTAAACGGGAGTATGCTTTTTTTTTTTTCCATCATAATTACTCAATTTAAAGTGTCACCCTTAATTGAGAGGCGATAAATGTGACAATGAATACAGAAAAAATAAACTACTAACAAAGTTGAGTAAATCCATTCTTTCTTTGGTTTAAATATAATTGATAATAAGTGACAAATTGAATGGTAGTACATTCAAATTGAGTAAGTAGTAAGAATTAAAACTTCTTTATATAAAAATACTTATATTTATAAAATTTCGTGTAGTAAATAATTTCATTTTTTTTTTTTTGCACAAATGTATTTCCAGGTTTTTTTTTCAAAAAAAAAAAACGAATTATCCTTAAATTATGATGAAAATAAACAGAAGATAAAAATACAAACATCAGGGATGCAAAAAAAATAAATACTAAATAAAAAGTAAGCATGATAGAAAGAGATGGATTTCCTGGTAAAAATTTTAGCTGCACTTCTGAAAAAAAAAAAGAATGATTAGCGGAAAATATTTGGTTATGCAAGCAAAAAGATAAATTTCCTAAAAAAAAAAAAAAAGAGGAAAAAAATTGTACGCAATATTTCCTCCAAGTTAAGCTCACTTTAAACTAAATTAGGAAAGAAGCAAATAAATGTGAATATGTTCTTAATTAATTGATACAAAAATCATCAATTAAATAAACCTATAATAACCATGAATTCTAGTAAATTCCAAATTCACTAATCCGATTGTTTCATTTACATCGCAAAATAGCAAGCAAATTATAAGCACAACCACGGGTTTCATATATTGAGCATATTGAAGACAAAGTATTATCTGAATAACCTATCACTGATACAATATAGCATATATATACTTAAGGAAAACCTATGAGGATAACATTTTATCAATTTAATTTAACTGATTCCAAAAATACTCTCAAAATTTCAATCTTTTTTCATCAATTAGCTATGGCCATGATAATTTCGTGCTATTCTTTTTTTTTTTTTTTTTTTCAAATTATATTCATATCGGTAAAAGACATGAAATTCATATGCAAATATTCATGAAATGAGGACTTTAGATGTTTTTTTTTTTTTTTAAATGATAACAAAATTTGACTTTTGTTCAGTTTAGGCATTAAAAATGAAATGGAATACTTATGCAAAAAGAAAAAAAAATAATAATAAAAATAAATCTCGGATTATCAATGCAGTTCTTTTCGGGTTTTGAATTTATGAGAAATAACTAAAAAAAATGCCTAAATGACAAATGTAAACTTTGCTCTATAAATAATTCGTATTAAATTTTCACAGCATAACAAATTTTAACCGTAATAAATTCCTTACAGGAAGCCTATAGAGCAAAAAACGTAAGCCATAGATTATCCTGAAATAATTACAAGCTGTCTCGACATAACAAAGATTTTCACAGAAAAAGCTGCAAGTGAACTGAAAAAAAAAAAAATTATCAGTCAAATGTGAACATTAAGAATCCTAATAGCACATATACCTGGGAGCACTGCTGCACATTACTAAAAACTGATAAAAATAGAAATTTCAAATAGAATTTTCTAAAACCCAAAAAAGAAAAAATTTTCTTTTTCATCAAATTAAAATTCACCTAGATTTTTTTTTTAAATATTAGGATGAAATATGCAATAGAAGTGAAATAATAAAAACGAAGCAAATTGTTCACGTATTAATTATCACAGCACATTATTTCATTCAACTTTGTCAAATTAAAAATGAATTTTCGAAAATCTTCATGTAAACTCTGGCAATGGCAATTGTACTAATAGTAATAATAAGCTAATCAGCAATCAATCCAATTACAATACATCATTCAATTCAATTCAATTCATTCATTTACTCAATCCTAAGTTATCGTGCAACAGCATGTCTTTTTCTGATGTCTCCTAATAACATCGGGAAAATCAGATCGTCGCATACCATGCGTTGAAATAGTTGATAACAAATCACTACCACTACCACCACCATTCTGTAGGACAGTTACTTCTGTTGCTCCAGAATTAGCTGAAATTGGAAGCTATAAAAAACAGTATAACAAAAAAAAAAAAAAAAAAAAAAAGAAAACTCCTAAAAGTCAATTAATATTAAATATGATCAAAATTTAGAACACAATTCTATAGTTTGGTTACGTTTATATGAAAAAATTCATCAAATTTTAAATCACAGTGCTATTTCAGTGCGAGATATTTTGCAATGTTATGTAAATATATTTGAACACAGTGGCAATCACATGTAGCGCATTTGATCTAATTTGTTAGATTCAAAATTATCTACCTACTCAAAACCATAATTATTTAATTACTACATCTATCATGATATATCTGAAATCATAGATATTCGTGCTCATAATCCATGAAATTTTTGCAGTTCTAAATCAACCGCTAATTTAATAACTCATATCACGACGTATGCCAATAATTTCACCGATCTTCAATTCGCATCATTTCATGATGACTGATAAACAATCTCATTCAAAAATGTCATTTCCCTGCTACTGAAATTAAGCCGATGCAAACCTTCAACTTATTATATGAATCAGCTAATATCATTGGCCTTTCCAAATAGATCCCAATAAATACCTACACTGAAATGTAATAATTCTAAAATATTCCGAAAAACCAGAACTCAACCACTACACCACATCAGATGACGTCGCCAATAATATCCAACTTGCTTCATCCTTACCTTTTTTCTTCTTCTTTTGACTGCTTCGAGTTCGACCACCCCTTTGCAACTGTAAACTGGTTTCATCATCGTCTTCGATACAACCATTTTCTTTATCTAATTTTCGTAACCATTCATCCGGTGACATCGGTTTTGTTTTCTGTGATGATGGCTTGATAATCTTAAAGAACGAATTTTTCATCACGATGCAAAATAAAAATCCATAAAGTACCAAAAATATGGAGATGTACCGAATAGAAAATTTCAAATAGCAGTTAAACCACAAATGAGTAAACACAAATGATTTAACGGAGAAATCCGAAAAGGATTATTACTTCAAAAGGAAAAATTAAACGATCACTGTGTTTGCTCGTTTATAGGACGAAAATTAAATGCATAAACAGAATAAACACGAAAACTAATTTTCATTCAGAATAACATTTATGTTGACATTAAAATATCAGAAATCATAAAAATTTGTTCAAATTATATATAATATAAAACACAAATTGTAAAAAAAAAAGTTATGTAAATGTCAATCTTTGATTAAATTAAAATCATCTCTTTTTCATTAATATCAAAAAAAATGTTTACCTTTTTACTAGGACTATCACGTCGACGAATTTCAAATTGTCCTGCAGCATGATTTGTACTCTCTACACCACTTTGTCCAGAAGTGGCTGAATTATTGGCAGAATTAGCTTCATCCTGAAAAACGATTAGTTTTATCCGAAAAAAAAAAATCGACAGTCCAATAATGAGCCAAAACTTAAGCAAAAAAAAAATTACAGACTGAACTGAATATTTACCTTTCCGAATGAAACATCTTCTTTACTCCATGATCGCAACAAATCTGTTTGCTCTTTTTGAGCTTCCATTCTTGCTAAAGTCATTCCAGAACGGTCTCTTAGCGAAAGACGTCTAATAGCGCCACGAGCAGAAAAAGGATTGTCTGTATTAGCTGTAGGCTGCTGCGGTGATTCAAACTTTTTTCTCCTTAAAAGGTTAGAAAAAATGGAGTGGAAAAGAATTTTTTTGACTTTTAAAACAAGCTTCTCATGGCATTAGATAAAATATAAAATGTATATTCCCAAAAAGTAGGGTAGGTTCTAATGTTTTTTATCTAAAATTAGAGCAAACTATCAAGTTGATCTTCGATAATATATCTGCCAATTATGCCAAAAATGTCTGGAGTGTCCTTGAAATTTCATGAATACAGTTTTTTAACAAGTTTACACTAAAAGATGACAATCATCTCACTTTTTTTTCTTTTTCATTCTTTAGCTAAACTATTTCAAGTACGTATCATCTTACTACGAAACAGATAAAAAGAAGCTGAAACTTTTTGCTCACTTTCTGGATTGCCTTCTACTATCACGTACACCAAATGCTAAACGTTTTTTTCTTGCTTCTTGTTGTTGAACTGTAACAATTACTGCTCTTGTTGTAGTATCCTCGCACAGATCTGTAAATTTAATTGAAATTCAATTGAAGCTAACATTAGCAAAAATTTGATTTGGAATTCAATTAAAATTAACATTATAATATAGCATTTTTGTAATAGTATTTCTTCCGCAAAATCCTATTTTTTACCCTTTTATCCATCATTTTCATACAATCTGTATTTCAAGACCTATAAAAATGATCAAAAAAAATTTTTTTTTTATATACTTAATAAAAGCAGAACATTTTCACCAATTATGAATAATAAGAAGGTACGAACATATATTCTGGATAAGAAAGAAAAATCTTACCTAAAGCTGTTTCACCATTATTTGTTTTTGCATTAATATCACCGCCATACTCGCAAAGAAGCTCAATAAGATCCGGTTGAGCCCAACAGGCTGCAGCATGAACTGGCATCCAAAGATCATTATCTCGTACTGATGGTGATACGCCACATCTTAGCAAAAATGCTGCGACATCATAGTAACCGTTAGCTGCTGCTATATGTAGCTAAAGAAAATTACAATTATCAAAAATGAATGGAATATGAATTGATAATTTCTTTACAACAAATAATTCTGTCTTTTTTTTTTAGCTGATAATTTGTTGAATAAATTGGTAGAAAAGATTTTATAAAATAAAGACAAAAGTTTTTTTTTTTTTTTTCTTTATCCACTAATATAAAATTTCGTTTAAACAATAGAATGCTTACATATGTGCTCCCATCTGCTTGTCTCACATCAAGTGGATGTCCCTCTTGCCTTAATAATTTCATTTCATCTAACATTTGCTTTTCAGCTGCACCGCGTTGATCATCTTAAAATAATGTAAAAGTTAAACATCAAAAAAAAAAGAAAAAATCAAAACCAAACATGTATCTGCGTTTGCTTGATGTAACGTAATACTATTTTAGATTCAACAACATCTTAATATAACCATTAACATATATCGCTAACAAATATATATATTACAAGAAATAAGTAATTTACAATAGCTTACAATCTATAGATATAGAAATGCTGCGATATATTATGATATTATGCATATATTTACCAAAAAAAATTTTTTTTAACAATAAATTCATTGAAAGATATCAGAAAGCTAACCAATGTATGCTTGTGTAATACCACGTGATGCCATTTCAGATTCAATAACATCTAATGTAGCTTCATCATCACAGATATCATACGGCATATTACCATCAGCATTCACCGCTAGCAAATTAGCACCACTGGATAAAAAAAAAATCATAAAAAAGCATACCAAAAAAAAAAAAAAGGAATAACATTGTTGTTATCAGTAGCATGCTAAGAACACCTTTATGTGATAAACATCAACACTTCAGATCATCCATTTGCGCTTAAAAAAAAATCTTCAGTATTTAAAGTAAAGAAAATGTAAGTGTATGCATAGATTAAAGAGCTATAAATTAGGTTAAAACAAATATATTTTCGGTGTAGATGCATTAGCTAAACTAATTATTGAGTAGTAAATCAGTATATTTAATCAGCATTCCATGTATGTAACAATAACAAATGCCAAATCAGTTTCATCCTAACATCAATTTTATCTTATTCTTTCTAAGCTTAAAATACAATATTTACACCAAGACTACCAAATTAGCAAAATAAACCATAGAGTAAATTCAATAGTCAACAAAAATAAGCTACTTCATATATATATACATATATACATATATATATATAAGAAAAAAATAAAACAACTGATATATAACATCAAAAAAAAGAAAAGACATCTTTATGAAAATAACAAATTACTATCATCACTTTAGTTAAATTACAGAAACTATCAATCTTATTATTTTTGCCATAAAAAAGAGAAGAAAGAATTTAATATTATAGCTAAATGTGGAATAACCTTTAGGTGTATCCTTATCACCATCATTGATAAAAGATATGAATAGGAAGCAAAAATAATACTAACTTATCAATAAGAAGACGAACAATATCGATATAAGCACAACAAGCAGCTGCATGTAATGGTGTCCATTGTTCTGTATCCTGTGCATTTACATCAGCTCCATGCCTTAGAAGCAATTGCAAAATCTGCTCATTATTATCGATAGCACACTAAAACAGAAAAGAAAAAAATTTCCTAAAACGCTAGAAAATCATTATTATTATTTTTCAAGTTCTCTTTAAAATATACGATCTTTTGTTTTATTAAATGTTCAAAAATGTCAGTCTATTATCCTCAATTTTCTTAAGTTTATCTTTTTGAAAAAAAAAAAAAAAAAAACTATTTCATATATAATGAAAAATAGAAGCATAATATACATGTTAATCCTCACAATTAATTAGTGATAAAAAAAGAAAAACATTATATTAGCATATCAAATCTTTTAATATACTAAATTAAGAAAGAAAACATTTCGAGCATGAATGCTACAGCATTTATTAGTACAAATTCTTTTATCTTTTTCAAAAACTATCCGATACTACGCATTAGTCAGTATCCTAAATTTATCCAGAAATTTGCAAGTTAAAATTAAAAAAAAATTAGTAAGGTAAAAAAAAATAAGAAATAATCAAACTAGCCTGATGTAATGGAGTTAAACCATCTTCATTATGTGAATTTGGATTTGCACCCTCCAAAAGCAATCTCTCAACTGAAAAACAATAAAATACTGAGGTAAGAGAAAATGATATCTTTGTTACTTTAAAAATTTTTTTCATTTAAGACTTTATAAAATATTTTAAGAATATTAAGGAATAAAAGGAGAAAATAATAGAAAATGAATTTTCACGAAAGTATCTATGAAATTGACCAAAGCCTATTCTCATTGTTGAATAAATCAATAATTGTAATTTTTTCGTTCTCCAATTTTAGTTTTTTACTCACAAACATTACTACCTCTTTTAAATCTTTTTGAAACTCAAACTGAATCTCCTATTGTTTAATTTAGGATTCTATGAATTAATTGTCAATATGTGGTTTTCATGAAAGAAAAAAGTGTCAATATCAAGGAAAAATTGATGACACGAGAAAGAGTGAGCAGCAGATAGTAAGTACATTATTTCATGGTCATACTTTATAACTGCAATATCTGAATATATGAATAATTGCTAAACAGCTAAGAACTGATAAAAAATATAAAAATTTTATCGGACAAAAATTTTAATAGAAAAAAGTTTACAAAATTTTAATAGTAAAAAAAGAAATACATAAATAATTTACCTTCCACAGCATCACCTCGACTTGTTGCTTCTAATAATGCTACTTCTGGACTGAATTTCAAACGCTGACGACGTGGAAGTGTTGGTGTCATCTGTTTTTCACGCTCATCCCAATTTCTCAGCTGTATCCTTCTTCGTTCACTGAAAAAGATAAACCAAAATAGATAAAACAAAAAACAATCAGAATTTCCAGAATAAAACTACTGGAAAATTTCATTCAGATAATTAGATTAGGACAATCCATGCCACAGGCATCTCATCTCACATTCATCCATATTCTCATAAACAAAAATTTGCTGAAATACGGATGAATGTGAGATAAAATGATTATGGAAAGTTGGTATAAAGATTTCAATCTTCTTAAATAAACTAACCGTGCTAAAGCAATCCGTTCAGCTGGTGTCATCTTTTCGATTTCGCCTAGCTCTGCAACCAAATCCGAGTGATCCATCGCCCGTTTTTACCTACTACTCTCTGCAAATTCTCAAACATTTAAAACTCAAACTTAGAAAGTTATCTTAAAAATTTATCTCTTTGAATATGCTCATCATTTGTTTGACAGAGTAAGGAGTATATATATATATATATATATATATATATATATATATATTGCCTATCATATTTATCATTAGTTATCAAATACATACTCCCATAATAATGACATAGAATTAGTCGACAAGAATAAGCGAATGTCAAGAATAAGCGACAAGAATAAGCGAATGAATTTAGTATCAAAAATTAAAAATAACATTATCAATCAATTACTAAATACAGCCGCTTGCTGCTATATTTCACACTTAATTTCAATTAATGAACTAAAATCAAAAAGTAATAAAGAACGTTGAACTTTAATCTCTTTCGCTCTAACTCTGTCTTTTTCTTCCCCCTAACAATCATGTTAACTAATTTTAATTCAAACAACTTCTACTCTACTTACGACTGATAACAAATGATACTGAAAATTTTCCTATTCTTTTTTTGAATGTGTTAATGTCAATATTATGATGTCATATACATATTTCTTACTCAAATCATTTCAATCAAAATTTCTTTTTTTTTTCAACAAGATTAAATCATTAAATATTAAAAAAAAAGAAAAGAAAACGATGATAATTTACAAACATACCTAAAAAATGTTGAACACAAACGTCTTTGTCACTGCGTACTTTCTTATGTTTAGATAATGATGATGACGTTGGCCTGTTGAATTGTAACAAATGACGAGAACAACAATAGCAACAATATGTCCCACAACCGTCAATAAATGGAAATATTGTATAGAAAATAAACAGATAAGAAAATGAAACGAAGGCAACGATAATATTTCCACCGGTATATCCAAAAGAAAAAGAAAAAAAAACCAGGACTTATAATTGCAGGAATGATTTGTTACTGCAATTCATAGAATGATGTTTGTCCGTAAGAGAATGATAACAGCTTGAAAGAATTTCATATTTCAGCTTTAATTGCATAGAAGTGCAATAAATAGATTCAGATTGTTTTTGAATTAAATTTTCAGATTCTTGAATTTCAGATTTTCCCAATGCAAGCTTTTTACCTCATCTGTAAGGTGTAGCTTGTAATAAATTGCTATTGCAGTTACTGTTGAAGGATGATAATAAATTCTGATATCTAAAATTCAGTTCATTTTCTTTAAGCATCATCAATGAAATCAATAGCAACATTAATTAAATATTATCATCAAGAAAAAAAATTCAAAAGTTAACTATAGCATGTGATAATATTGTGTTAAGATATAAAAATTTATAAAAAGAGAATATAGCATAAATAATAACATATTATTATTCAAAAATTGATTTAAAAAAAGAAAAGAAAAAAGAAATAATTGAATAATTTGCTTATTTTACTATTAAAAATTAGTACTAGAAAAAAAAAAAATCAATAATTTGTATTTTTAATGCTGAACACATATTGAATACATTTAGAATATTACTTAACATGCAGTTAATGATTCGTATCTTACAACAACAAAAAGACAGTTCACATCTTTTACAATGGAAAACTTACATAGCTCGATCAAAAAAAAAAAAAAGTAAATTGTATTTCTTACTAAAAATATTTTAGATGAATAGTTCCGTTTCAAATAAAAAATAAATCGCTGTTGCTAGGTTATGCTTATATCAATTATCTTAAGAAGCTCGTAGTAAAATAAAAAAAAAAAAAACATAAGAGAAATTTTCCATAACATTCAAATAGAATAAGTAAAATTGCATGTCATTAAACACTAAATGATACGATATCAATGCAACTATGTGACAATTTCCGCCAGATATAAAATGAATTTTCCAAGCTGCTAAAAATTAAGCGAACAGTACGAATTACTAGTTGCTATATGATTTATTGTATAGGAATTTTACTTTAAACTAAGTTAAAAAAAAAAAAAAAAATATTAAATCAAAATATTACAAACTTTATGAGTTAGCAACATAATGATAAGAAAAGAGAAAATTGGACTAAAACTTGGCATACTTCATGTGCTGATTGTGAGCCTTATCTAGTGCTATCATGATAAGAAAAGTCGAATATTATTTCAAAGATAGCATAAAATTCCTCATACAGAATACAATGTTATCAAAACATTAAAAAATATCATTAAAAAAATGATGAAATAATTAGAAAATAAGCACAATAAAACTTCATTTCCAAAAAAGGAGCTATATTTTAAATTTTGAAAATTTCGAAACATTTCAATTAAATGTAATAACATGATAAAAAATCATTTAAAAAAAATCAAAAATATAAGAAATGACAAAATATTATCATAGCAATGTTACATATCAGGCTAAAATGATTGATATTCTCACAATAATGAAACATCATTGAATTCATCAAAAAATTTCTTAAATCATTTTTTAACTTCTTTTTTTTTCGTTTTCTTTTTCTTTCATTTGTCTCAGAGATCACCGAACTGAATTCAACTTTTATCATATGAAGTAAAAAACAAAAATTCCAGAAACAAACATATATAAATGAATATTTTTTGATGGAAGAAATTTTACAAAAAATAAAATGTACAGAATTTCGTTTTAAATAAATGTATATATTTAAATTCCTTTTTCAAGTAAAAAATTTGAGATAAATTGATCGTGAGCAAATCCTGTGATATTAAAAAACTTTTTCAGTATTGATGCCATCCACACAAATATACCAGAAGAAAGGATATTCTTATTATGTTCATCAATTAGACTATCTATGGTCATTCACTAGGAATGACCTTTCTAAATATTCAAGGAAAATTGTTGACTGAATAATAGCAATAACCATTATAAATTAGACAATTTGCAATTACAAATTCATTTTTAACTTATAATATATCAAATGATAAAGTTCAGACTAAAATGAGGACAATTTATAAATTATGAATGTATATTACTTTTGTAGCTATTGTTCAAATTTAAATCTTACGATTTATTGCAAGTAAAAAAATAGAAAACTAGTAAGATAAAAAGAAGCATAAAATAATAATTGTCTCATTTTAGTGAAAGAAAATTGAAAGAAAATAAAAAAACGAAAGAAAATTTTAAAAAATTGATGAAAAATTTTTCAATGAAAAAAAAAAAAAAATCCTAACAAAAAGGAAAGGAAAAACCAGACGAGCTAAGATGATGATAGAATCACTTCAGTTAGCAGATCGCTACACTCTTCGCTTTTTGCCTTTGTTATCTTTTTATATTCCCAAATGACTTCAAAAATGAAACTCAAAGAGTCGAAGAGAGAACATCGAACATTGAACAATGCAAAATTACTGCTAAAGCACAACAAAAAAACCATAAAATTTATATCATTACTATAATGACTCATAGATATGTAAGTACAATGAGTCATATAAATTAGCATAAATATATCACGAATAGCTTGGATTAAATATTGCTAAAAACTATTAGTATTATCGATTATCGATCAATTTATTGACGAGAAATGCTTGAAATATAGAAAAATATCAATCAAATCATATGAACAATTGTAGGAATCAATGGAAAATTTACAAGAAAATATTAGACAAATGTTCTATGAGTTAAACATTTATTCCAATTCTTTTATCTAAGCGAAAGCAGCAATTTCTTCAATTAAGTAAATTTGATAAAAGCAATGGTAAAAGAAATTAATGGTACCGGTTTTTCCTCTTTTTTTTTTTTCTTTTTTTTTATAGTTTAAATTTAGTAAATGAGAAACTAAAGGAAACAGCTGCTTAGCATATGAACTTTCTCTTACTTGTTTTACTGTTGATTTATTTCACCACAAAAGAATTCATCTGAACTTCAGAAATCTTTTATGGGTTTCAGAAATAAAAATATCAGACACAGTAAAGTTTGCAAAGAAAAAAAAGAGAAAAAAAAAAAAAACTCGCCAGATGTACTATGTAAAAAAAATGGTGTAATTAGCCTATTGAGGGTCAGTGAAATTAGAAATTTGATGAAGAATGACAACAAAGAATATTTATAGGATTTAATTGAAATACTTTCAATTGATAAATTAACCGTTAGTTTTATCATTCATCACGGGAAACACATCACAATAGAAAAAAAAAAAGAAGTTAAAGGAAACAACACTAGAATTTTATTTTTTATTTATTTAATTTTATGAATATAATAAAATGTAAAAGAAATGACACAAGCGACAGGCAATATGTTACGCATGGATTTCTGGAAAATCATCTGAACTCGTTTTTTCCAAACTGATTAATGATCATTATCTAGAAAAAAAATAAAAACGATTCCATATTAGTGGTCAGTTGTGATATGTTAAGATAATCATATTTTAAAACTATACTATTATACATCATCTTTATACTAAAATTAGTAGAATTTTAAAAATAAGGCTAATTCATACTGACATATTACATCAAAAAAAAAAGATAATATATTTGCCCTCAAATAATAATAATAATTACTGGCAAATATCATATTATGTACCAATTTCTAGTACTAAAGTTTTTCGCAATTTGAAGTGTGAAAACTTGAATGATATAAAGATGAGAAGACGAGCAATTCCTATGTTCTATAACAAAAATCACTCATAATTCAAAAACAACATTTTTAAATCAATTAGATAAGAAAAGAAAAGGAAAAGTTAAATTACTATCACTATCAAAACATTCATGAATCTAACATATGTTATAACTAAGATAAAATTCGACTATTATATAAATACTTAATTTCATTTAATTTATCAAAATTATGCTTAATTCTCAAATTCATTTTACTGAAAAAAAAAACAACAAATAAATAAATTTTACAATCAATATTTTAACATTAAATTCGTCACATATGCTCAATTAATAAAATATTAATTATTCCACACGTGTTAAGTCACGCGTAAAATATTGAAGTACACGTAACTAACGCTGTTAGGACAAAAAGGAAACGTGAGAAAGAAAAGAAAGAAAGTAGTAATAAGAACGAACTGTAATAATTTCAACGGTTTCATTGC